ATGATTCCCTCGAAAGCAAAAACGTTTGTCCTTTCCTTGTTCTTTTGGAGGAAAAATGAAGACACAGCATAAACATGGCTTTATTACTAGAGGCAATTACCCTCGCCTCGTGGGGGTCCTCCACGGGCCACAGCCTAGCAAGACAAAGCGTACTGGACTTAGCCAAGTGGGTCCCGGTGAACAAAAAATCAGTATTTTAGTGCCACTGCTCAGCAGAATATTAAGATAAATAAAATCCTTAAAAAGCACCGAAACACAACCATCGAACAGCAACAAGCAAGCTTGTAGCAGTGTCCTGATTCTGATGTCATCATTCCTCAGAAACTGTGGGCCCTTTCTGCATTTATGAAGCGGTATCAGATCTTGTAGGATAACCTTGCACTGTAGGGTACCCTGTAGGGTTACGGATGCAATGTATCAGGACTTCTAGAGGTTTTTGATGGGGGTGTGGTTATAAATGATGGTTTGTTTTTGTATTTTACCATTGTCTTTTTAAAATAATTTTTTTTATTTTTTTAAATTAATATTTTTTTATTTTTAAATATTTTAATATCCTGATATTAAAAATTAATTTTTAAAAATAAAAAAATTATTTTAATATACTTTTAAATAAAATTTTTTAAAAAATAATTATAACTATGATTTTAATAATTTTAATGACAGGTCATGATTGCTTTTTATTCACGGGCTGAGAAGAAACTATTCAAATATGTGTTTTGCTTTCGCTTTTAATAGAAAATAAGTTAATGTTCAAAGGAAAGAAATTCAAATGCATGGATTTAAAGTATTTTTTATTTTAATATATATTAAAATAATATTTTTATATTTTATTTTATTTCTAGTGTTGGCATGATAAAATTATAAAAAAATAAAAAAATTAACTTAATATCCTTTTAAAATAAATATATTTTAAAAAAAATATTAAAAATAAAAGTTACCACGTACCCGAATAATCGGTAAGTTTCCTAGCCTTTTTTTTTTTTTTTGCAATAAAATTAGAAGAAAGAGTTCTGGATTCCCAATCAATTAAGAATAGATCACATGCTTAACTTCTAATTAGAAAAATGCTTTTATTCGGATGTTGTCACCTCTATGGCTCTGAAGAATTAAATAAATAAAATTTTGTTGCGTGGCTCCACCAAATGGTTGACCGAATGTATTTCTTTCATGTTCATTAATATTCACATAAAAAAGGTTAATGTTTGAGGTTGTCTTGCTATCAACATGGATGGGTTTTCTTTGTATAGAATATGAATTGATTTCTACCTTCAAACTTAAATCTCTAGCATGACACATCTTGGAAAACTTAGAATATCATAGCAATTTTTCTCTCGTGAATGCATGAATGTTCACATTGTTTGGCAACGAGATTTATTTTATTTTGTCACTATGCTATCAACGTCGACATCAATCTATTTTCCGAATAGGACTATAGTTAACATAGCTAAGGCAATATTGTTACATGATTTATTATTATTTTTTTAATTAGTATAAATGTTTTAATTTATATATATATATTTTAATTAATATTATAAATTCTGAAATTAATGATTATATAAATTTTTAATGATTAAAAAAAACTCAAACTTGTAATTATTAAAAATCAAATTCAAAACTTGATCAATATTGTTATATAATTTATTATTATTTTTAAATTAAAATAATTGTTTAATATAACTTATATTTACTTCAATTAATTTTATAAGTTTTTAAACTAATAATTATCTAAACTTCTAGTGGTTTTAAGAGAATTCAAATTCAAATTTATTATCATTAGAAATAAATTCAAGATTTAATGTATTAAAATACTCTTGTAATTTTGTTTTTTTCTTGCATTAATTGTTTTGGATTAAATGTTTTTTAAAAACATAATTTAGTTGAAAAATATCTTTGGAGTTAAATATTTTTTTAAAATATATTTTGATCGACAAAATATCAAATTAATCCATTTTAATGGCTCTGGTTTCTTGCCGGATTATCTGATTTAGATCATACAGGGAGACTTGTAATACACACAAGTGTCTTGGGATTTGTACAAAAGAAAATCAATTTATGTGAGAAATCATCAGTACTCGTGAGTATCCATCCACTCACACCCAAAATTAAAAAGAAAGAAAAAAACCCTTTGACAAGTCCCATCTTCATCTTCCTCTCTCTTTCTGACCCACGAGATGGAAATCTCCACAAACCCAAAGATCATCACTGTAGCCCATATGCCACGTCACCATAAAGGAACCTTACAGCCTAGCATACACTTAACCCCCAATCACACCCTCCCACGTGTCCTTCTCACCAGCTGTCTTCCTTACTACGCCCCCCGGTATAAATAGCCCACTAGCCCTTCTTCCTTCACAATCCATCCCTCCGAGAAAAAGGAAGCCTTCACTCTCTGGTCTCTGCTCTCTAGTATTTACCCTAACCGATGGCTTTTAATTACAATCTCGCCACTCTGGCTTTTCTCCTCTGTTTCCTTGCCCCTTCATTCGCGGCTCTGGTTCAAGAACAGCCTTTGGTGCTGAAATACCATAACGGCATCCTCTTAAAAGGAAACATCACCGTTAATTTAATCTGGTATGGCCAGTTTACACCAATCCAGCGGTCCATAATCGTGGACTTCATCAACTCCTTGAACTCTAAAGGGGCCCCACTTCCTTCCACCTCATCATGGTGGAAAACAACTGAGAAGTACCGTGGTGGCTCCTCCTCGCTCAGCGTAGGCCATCAAATCCTTCATGAAGAGTACACGCTCGGAAAAATCCTGAAGTCCCAACATTTGATAGCTTTGGCTTCGAAAACCCATTTCGCTGTTAGCTCTATCAACGTAGTTTTGACGGCAAAAGATGTTGTCGTTGATGGGTTTTGCATGAGCAGGTGTGGGACTCACGGGTCAACAAAGTCCCGCTCGGGTCGGGGCACGTACATTTGGGTCGGTAATTCTGACCTCCAATGTCCAGGTCAGTGTGCCTGGCCATTCCACCAGCCAATTTATGGCCCGCAAACACCACCGCTGATAGCACCCAACGGAGACGTTGGTGTTGACGGAATGGTCATTAACTTGGCCACTTTGTTGGCTAACACCGTTACCAACCCGTTCAATAGTGGGTATTTTCAGGGCCCACCCACCGCTCCTTTGGAGGCTGTTTCGGCCTGTACTGGGCAGTTCGGGTCTGGGTCGTACCCGGGCTATCCTGGCCGGGTCCTGGTTGATAAGGTCACGGGTGCTAGCTTCAATGCTTATGGCGTGAACGGAAGGAAGTATATGTTGCCTGCTATGTGGGATCCACAATCAAGTGCATGCAAGACACTTGTGTGATGGGTCCCATCAAGGTAATCACACGTGGCGAAGGCGAGGCAAAGTGAAACCTATGTAGTTGTTGGAAAAATGTAAGAGATAGGGTTTTTCTTTTCTTTATTGTCCCATCAGAAAAATGTTTGTCGTTTCGGGTGACATGTAAATTCTCCTTATGAAAGAATATGGAAGATGCAGACGAGAAAATGATATAATAAAAAAAAGTTAAATAATGTATAAAGTGGGATTGGCTTGGATTGTTTTGCAAGGAAGGATTCCCATGGAGGCTTTTTTTTATTTAACTTTTAGGAAAAGATGAAAGGGGGGCTGCATGCCAGTGATGCTGGGGGCTCGGAGACCATAATGGCAGCTTTATAGGAATGATGAGATTCATCTCTTTGCCACCGGCATGAACTTGGTGGTTTGATCACCGATGACTTGATGGGGGCCATCTGCACGGATTCCGACAAGAGGATAAGATCAAGCACTGTGTAAATATAATACAAAAGACATAAAAGTGAAGTCAATGGCGTTCTCGGAATTTGAACACTTGTGCCAAGGGGAGAGGAGAGGTTGAAGTATAAAGCCTCTTTGCTTTTGGATTATTCCTGTTGTTAAGTATAAAATGGTTCATTTGAGGAAAGCTGTCTGCCGTGTTTCTTTGTATCTAATCTGATTTTGGTCATCGGAGACTTGAAAGAACTTCCAAATCTTCCAAATGTCACGGCAATGACATGAGCTCACGATGGAGGAATTTCCAAATCTCTACAAATAAGAGAACCCAAAACCAAATTAATTTTTTTAAAACAAATAAGAGAACCCAAAACCAAATTAATTTTTTTTTTTAAATATCATTTTAAAGTCTGTACCTTGTTTCTTTGCTGATTTATAAATCCATTTTATATGTCGTCGTTAGTTGTGGTATGCACGAGTGTTGTAAAAAGCATTTGTCTGTTTCTCAAGCATGCATGAAAGATATTCTTCGCATGAACAACAAATCTTTGCCCTATCAGTAGAATGATAAGGTTACTATACAGTACATGGTTCCGGTACAGAAAAAATCATTAAAAACAATAATTTAAAACCAAGAATATATATATATATATAAAACAAACACCAAGGTTAGAATAGGTAAAATGATCCAAGTAGCAGCAATCACCTTGCATAGGTTACTTTGTTCGATGACGCGTCCGGTCGGGTTGGAGAAAAGAGAAAGCGGTCAAAATCTCTCTGATTTGATACCTAAGTTATAGCCTTGGAGGGGTTTCTTGTATTTTTAGATTATAAAATTCTATCCCGGTCAAGCCCAGCATATATTGTTGAGCCATTTTTTAAGAGTATCAATTGTTTTTTAAAATATATCTTTTTTTTAAATTTATTTTTCCTAGATTCACATCAAAACAATAAAAAACATAAATTAATTTTAACCTAAAAATAAATTCATTTTTTAAAAACAATATTTGCAACGCAGAAACAATATCCATACCTCAGCACCCTAACTATTCGGGCTTGCTTTATTTTTCACACAAACAGTCAGATCTAAGAATATACAGTAATAAGTTTGCATGCAAGAACTCAAAAAATATTTTCTACCAATAAATTAATCATACCTTGTCTTCTACTATCATAATTCACACAGGGTTTATATTGCGGTGCAAAAAACAGTAAAACAAAATCATAGCACCATCAGTTGAGATCTCAAACAGAAAAATCTCACAGAAAACAGGAGGCTTCATTTAAAGAAATGACAGAAGCAGCGAACGGACCCTCTAACAAGACCTAAAATATTGCAACCAGAGGAAGCTTTCACGATAGAATATTTATAGGCAGCACCAAGGACGCAAGCAAGAATAATTTAATTGTCTACCATGAACAAAACAAAGCTCCATTTTCACATTACACCATTTCAACCCATGCAGGGAAACGTCTTCTGTTCATCCCACCCAAACATTAAAATATGTGAGAAGAGATGTATCTATCTGCTCGCAATGCTGTCTCAAGCAAAATCATACTTCAGCCATAGGGGCTGTAACGCATTGGCATTCTATATCTCATTACCTTCCTGCAGTGCAAAGGAAATATGCTAAATGAACAACATTGATCCTCAAATATCAAAAGAGAGAAAAGCAAACGAGGATGGTAGTAAGAGCCTAATCACTAAAAACTTTGAATGCACTTCTTTGATAGCATACCCATATCCATAAGGAGAGAAGAGATAAGGAGGCATAATTGCACCCCTGGGTGGAAACCCCATGTACGGGCTGGGTCGACGAGCACGAAACTGCTTCATCCCAGGTACATTGGTCCGCTTAGCAGTTACCTGCAAAAGCAAAGCCAAAACAATAAAAAGGAAGAAATCAATTTGAGGTTGAGAACTACTTAAAACAGAAAACAAAAATAGAACCTACAATGATCAAGGTTAAGACACTGAGCTATCAATTGTATAGGGAGAAAAACACAGAATTTCTTTACCTTCAACTGGCGGCCATGTAATTCAGATTCATTTAAAAGGAGAGCCTCCTGCACAGCCTCTGGCTCAACAAATTCAACATATGCATAACCCTTTGGTTGGCCATACTTGTCAGAACGGATAGTGACCCTATTTACTGTCCCACATGCCTGAAAATGCTGCTGCACTTCTTCAGGGGTGCACGAATAGTCCACCTGCAACCATGTTAAGTTAGCAAGACAAAGGAAGCTGTGTTGCTTCTTGGAGTTAATCATAATGATGTTCAAGACAACTCTAAGTTTTCACCAACACCAAACAAATCCCTCACCCATTGTACACCAATAGTACAAGTTGAATCCCAAAAGGCACTTATCCCATCACTATGCAGGGTGCGGCTTTAACAATTTCATTTGCTTTATTTTTACAGCAAACCAAACAACAAAAGTAAGGCAGGTAGGAGATTGATTGTCCCCAGGTCAAGAAATCATTCAAGCATCAAATGCAACACAAGCCACCAGCCAAATAATCCACACTATATGCATTTGACACTAAAAACAATTCTTTGAAGGTAAATCAGATAATAAGGAAAAGAGGCCTCACATTACCAACAAACACTGATCGAGAATCTACTTCCTCTCTATTTGCTTGGGATGCAGCAGCTGAAGCACTAGGATCTAATTGCACATAGAAACAGTAAGAGGAAGAAGGAGAAAGACATGCAGAAACAAATATCAATTATTGCAGTTATTATTCCCACTTACCTTCCTTCAACAAATAAAAGGAGGCGCAATAAAATATCTTAAGCAATGGAATTTGGAATGGTATCACACAGTTCACCTCTCTTATTAACTTACGAGCCAAGTCTTTGGAATATTATCAATAGAGAAAATAGACAATGGTAAATAAATAGAACCATTCAATAAAAAGAAAGTGTTCGATCCAGATCACCAATGTGGAATACCCTTGTTAAGTTTTCAGTGGAGCAGCTAAAGAATCACTGCAAAAAAACGTGACATAATACTCTGAAAATATTTATTGTCCTTAAAAGTCTACAAAACATTCTCATATTAAGAAGGGAAGTTTTCGAAAATCATAAATTTGTTGCATTTCTAACTTTCATGTTTCAACCAACTAACATCTTAACTAGCATATATGTATTCTTCAGATATCTACGTTCACGCAGCCAATCTTATAGACATAGGCAATACATTTCTAAGCCTTCTCATTACAACATTAAGTAACGAACATATCTTACAAAACATCCACCAATCTAAGGCCATCTACCGAGCATAAACGACCACAAAGACACAAATGTGTGACTTCTAAGCTCACACTAACAAGACCATCCAAACCACAATACCTCATTATTCTCCAATCTCCAAAAAAACCCCATCATCCCTATCACAACACTAATTAAAAGAAAAAAATCCCAACAGAAAATTGCAGAGAAAAAAATCATAAACCCTCTTTGATAATGAAAGACAAAAATAGAAGAATAAATCATAAATCATAAACCATTAAAAAATAACAAAAACCCATTTGACCATAATTGCAAATACCCAAAATACACACAAATATATGCATAAATATATATGATTACAACCTTGAACAGAACCCATTTCCTTCTCAACCTTAGCCTGCATCTCACGAAGAGCAGCAGCTTCATCTTCCATCTCCTTTAATCTCTTCTTCATATCATCAAGTTCCTACGGATTTCAACCATAACCCAACATTAGATATTTCATTTTCTTCTAAATCAGAAACCAATTAAGAGTGTTTGTGCTTAGTATCAGTAAAAATTTAAAACCGATCCAAGAAAAAAAAAGCGAGAAAAACAAGGAACGAAAAATACCGGTACTGCTTCAGCGGTCTCCGCAGCGGCCACGTCCACATCGTCACCGTCCATTCTCTCTCTCTCTTGTGTGTGAGAAATGAGAGCAACACTCAATTCTTGATGCCGAAATTTTATTACAGCAAGCTCTCCACTGTTGCTTCGTTCACCGCAGAAAAGGAAATTTCACAACATGACATGCTAGGTTAAGTTAATTATATTTTAGTCCCTCTAGTTTGTCAAAACTAATAAATCAGTTTATTTAGTTACAAAATAATAGAATAACCCGTTGACAATTGTCAGCAATTCGCATGCAACTATTCAAGGGTTTTTTTCCTTTTCTTTTCAAAATGCATATGCAAATGAAGGGGGTGATGCGTTCTTAGATATGTGATCATTTGTACAGCCAATTTATAATGCTCTATTTATATGTAAATTTTCAATAATAGAAAAAGAGATTTATCATATAAAATTTGTTAATTATGTAAAAAATTATAATTTTATGGAGAAATATTATATAAATCACAGGTCGTTTGATCTTAAAAATAAAGTTTTTTTTTTTTTTACTTTTTGAATAACAAGCCCAGACAAACTTATTTGGTCAGATAAATTGATACTCCATGTGAGCCTTTAGCTAGAAAATCTATGTTTTTTTTGAAGTTTTTTTTTACCCTTCTCCCTTAGTATTATTAAATTAAATACAATATGCTTTTGCTATAATTACGATTACCCCATAATTATATAGACCAATCCTTTAGATCACCCCATAATTATATAGACCAATCATTTAAATTAAGTGATTATTTAGCAACGCAGTACACTTCAGTCGCATGATTTTTTTGCTAGAAAAAACACCAAAAATGATGATTTTGTAATGCATTACGTTGCCAAATGGTACCTCTTGTTTGGTGTTGATCGTGAGCTTCGTTTCCTAATGTTTGGTAAGTGATGTATCAATTATTTTTTTTATTTGTTTACATGTGGAACCTAATTTTTAAAAGAATAAATAAAGATATGGTAATGATATATTATTTTTGGACTCAGCTAAGTATTGAGCTCAGAAATGTATGGGTTTGATAAGTTGTTAGACTCATTATTTTTGAACTCTATCAAGTGCTAAGTCCATACATGTATAAATTTAGCAAGTTTTTAGACTTATAATCTCTAAGCTCAACCAAACAACACGTCTACACATATATAGGTATGATGAGTTGTCAAACCTACTATTTCCGAGCTCAGCTAGACACTGAGTCCATACTCTTTTTAGCTTTAAAGAATCTTAAATTTTATGATTATTCTGATAAGTTAGAGATATTTTATTTATATTTTAACTTATATTTTTATAAAAAGACAGATGAACTATAAATACACTAGAAATTCTTCAAACAAGAGATTCAGAATCTAAATTTTCCACTATATATTTATTTTTAATCTTTCTAAAATATCATTATATTTTTCTCTAAAAAATATACTTATTGACATATCAAAGATTCTTCAAATTCATTAATGAGGACCTTTTGCAGTATCAGACACCAATCACTAGTCATCTTGGTTAGAAAGAGTAAAATAGATTATCAAAACTAAAAAATTAATCGATTATTCAATACATAAATCTTGCCTCCAAGCTAATTATATTTTTTAGGATAACATCAATAACTACAACATTAGTATATGAGGTTTTTTTCATAGATTTCGTATAAAAAAAGCTCAAAATATCTATAGCTACGCCACAATTCAAATTTAAAGGTTCAAGAAAGAGCTCATGTATGATCTTCACATCATCTAAACCAAACCAACCCTTGAACTATTAGTCTAAGTGATTTATAATTGTTGTTTTTAATTTGTACAATTAACCTCCCTGTGGTTCGACCCCGGTCTTGCCGGGTTATTTATTACTTCGACACTCCTACACTTGGGAGAAGACAACAATCTTTTCGTCGTGTCACTAAGATAAAACTCCCTAAACTTAGACAAGAATGTTAGCAGTTAGATTAAATACGATAGATTTTTGTTTCAAATTTGATAATATATTGGTTTCTTAATTTATTTTAAAAAGTTTACATCATATCTTATATTATAGTTTGATGGTTTGTGTTATTTTCAATCAACATACAAAATTTTTATTGTATCTCTTAATTTATAATATTTAAGTGAAATTATAAATGACTAGAGAATTGCATGAACTCATGCATAATAGCTCAATTTTTCTTCAGGGACATATCGATAAATTAAAAATCATAAGGGGAAACCAAGCCTGTACATTGTTGTTGATAGTAAACTATTTGAAGATTTTGTTACAAAACATTCTTCACTTGGGAGTCACACTGCTGTTAAAGAAGATGCATCGGAAATGATTGATATGATAATAATATAAAAAAAACTATTTTACATGTCTTTATTTCTTAAAAGGATGTGAAGTCAAAATAAAGTGATTAAGGATTGTTTGGAATGCAGTCTAACTTGTTTTCTAAAAAGTTTTAAATTTTTTTATTTAAAATTAATATTTTTTTAGTGTTTTTAGATTATTTTGATATGCTGATATCAGTAATGATTTTTTAAAAATAAAAAAAATATTATTTTGATGTATTTCTAAATAAAAAAATATTTTACAAAGCAATCACATTTTCAAACACACTATAAAGGTTAGTTTGTTTACCTAGTTTTGTTTCAACTATATATCAATTTTGATTTTTTGTTAATGAAATGCAATTTCAACCACTTAAACATATATTCAAAAAGAAACTTATTGTTGAAGTCTATAGAGTTTCATGTCATAACTTGACATTTTTTTTCTTAAGAAAATAAAAGTTCTAAAAATACAATTTTCATGTAAGTTCATAATTTTTAGTATTTTTATTTATTTAATTATTTGTAAAGTTTATATTAAAAAATGAAAAAGGGAAAGAAAGATGATAAAAAGAAAATAAAAAGAAAAATACCACATAGTGAAATAAGAAGAAGAAAATTGGACCAAAATAACAAAGACTTGATAATATTATGCAAAATTATGCAAATAAGGAAAAGAAGAATAAATATAGATTCGACCAAAATTGAAAAATTATAGAAAGAGATCCTTTTTTAATAAGAAAATAATCCTCATTTATAATTTATTTATTTATTTAATTTATTTTTTTCACATGTAAAAAGAGATAAAATCATTAAATCATAAGCTTTCAAGTAAAATTCAACATTCTTTGAACTCTTGATAAACATCATCTTTAATTGAATTGAGGCTCATGATATTGAGGAAGGAGATTAAAAGTTAATTAAATAAGAAACCTTATCTTAAAGAGGTCTGATTGATTTGTGTACACGTTTCAGAAAAGAAAGAAGAAGGAAAGTGAAGTATTCTATTGTAAAAATAAGGAAATTTCCTTACTAGAAATTTCAAAAGCATGTCTTCGTAAATTAGACATAATTTTCTCTATATATATACAAATTAAGCAATCTTGTTGTCAAAAGAAAACTAAAAGGGTCTAAAGCTTTATGTTTATGAATTTTCAAAATAAATTGATATGATGAAAAAAATAGAATTAGAAGTTGGAGGTGAGAATCCATCAATTTCAAAAATAAAATTATAAAATATATAAAAGCAAATTTAAAAATTTAAAAAAGAGAAGATCAAGGAAGAGACCATGACTAGAGCTGATAAAAGAGGGTTTGTTTCCAATTGAAAAAGAGAATAATTGAGAAGGAGAGAACCAGAAGAAATGAGATGTCACAGTGGAGTGCTTCTTTAACCGATTCTAAGCTAAATAGTTTTACTCCTATCCTTAATTTTACTTTGATGTATTCTAATAAGAACATGATTTATTTCATATTCATTATGAACTAAGCTTTATTTTTCTATGGCTTTAATGTAATGTAGTTTTTATTACAGAATTTAAATTCCAAGATATTTAAATTCTATTTTTTTTTTCATGTTGAGTGTTTATCCTTAATCTTATTATTTATAAATTTTAGCCTATTATTATTAAATTTATTGAATCATAATGACACCAAGATATAATTTATGATTAGAAGTTTTTAGGATTAAAAATAATTAGTTGAGCCAAAGATAAAGATATTTTACCATGATTAGTGTTATTTTATATTAAAAAAATCTAAAGAAAAATGAGTCTTCAAATAATTAATTTATATAGAGATATGTTAAATTATTAGTGGAGATATTTTTAATGTTATTTGAGAGAAAATATTGAATAATTAAGGGATTGTTTTCTTTTCATCAACATGAAGATTTAGAATTTTATATCAAAGAATAATAAATTATGTGGAGTTACCTAGGTGAAATTAAAACCACTAGATTTATTTTTATTATCTATACAACCTTAAGCTCTATTCTTTGCTCTTTTTTTTTTTTTTAATTTAGTTTTATCAAACACTTTATTTCATTTAAGTGGTAAATTCTATTGAAATCTTGGTTTCACATCTAAATAGTAAATAATTGGATAAATTTTAATATTTAATAACATAATTAGTCCTTGTCCTTGTGAGTTTGATACTCATTTCCTCAAAAACTATACTACTTGTTATGATTTTGTTTCCTTGCAAATAATTATCACGGTACTGAGAATCTTTCTCTTCATAATTATATCTATCTAGATCAATCTTTCTTGCTAAAAAGATGTGAAGTATGGTAAAAGAAAGTAACTTAGAAACTTTTTGATGAAGTTATTAGAACTTTATGTTATAACTCATTTTCCCCTTATATCCTGATATACTTTTAAAAATATAAAAATTTTAAAAAATGTCTTTTCCATGCAATTTCATAATTTTGAGCACTTTTGTTTATTTTATTGTGCATAAAGTTTTATAATAAAAAATAAAAAAATGGAAGAAAGATGATTAAAAGCAAAGATAAGAGAGTAAAATAAGGAGAAGAAAAGAAAAGGGGACCAAAATGATTATAAATGAAATAATCTAATGAAAAACCATTCAAATGAGAATCATAAAAATAAATAGAGATTCAAGCAAAATTATGTTATAGAAAAAGTGAAAGTCATAAAAGCACTTAAGAAGGGATTTAATTAGGTGTTTAATTGAAATTTTGATAACTTAAAAATTTAATTATTTAACACAAAAAATCAAAATAAAAATTTAATATAAAAATGCACATAGTAAATGAGATTGAGATTGAGAAAAAGAAAGACACATCAAATTTATAGTGGATAGGA